CCCCCCCTCCCCCCCCCTCACACTCGCTCGCTCGCCTCCCTCGCATTCCCATCCCGCGTCCCCTTCTGCGGCGCCCGCGCGCAGACGCCTTCTCAAGACGGCGGTCTTCGCCGGGGCCCCGGTCCTGACGGCCGCCGACTACCACCGGCCGCTGATCATGGTGGATCCGCGGCGGCCGGTTCGCTCGACCATGCACACGGTCAATGCCCTGTCCTCGGAGGACCTGCGCTTCCGGTTCCTGGTCGGGTACGAGGACTCGTCCCGGCCGGCCGGCAGCTCGTCCCGGCCGCAAACCGTGGACCTCGGCGGCGTCACGCGCGGGTACCTGTCCGACGTGGCGCGCGACCTGCTGGGCCTGGTGCCGCACCTGACCGCGGCCGAGGTCTGGCAGTCTGACCCGCTGGCCGACTCGTCGCTGGCGCAGCGCCTCTACTCCACGGTCAGCCGCCGGCTACAGGAGACCGTGGCCCCGGGCGGGGAGCCGGGCTCGGCGACTTCCTCGCCGGGCCCCTCGCCGGGCCTGGCCGGGGCCCTGGCACCGGACATCGCCGAGGAGATCGCCGAGTTCGAGCGCCTGCACAGCGAATTCCGCTCGCACCTGTGGACCGCCTACGGGCTGGGCTTCAACAGCGGCACCGCCACCGACATCTTCCCCTCGGTGACCGCGGTCGGCGAGGGCTTTGGCCCGGCCTCGGCCCGGCTCTTCTCCTTCATCGGCCGCCTGGTGGGGGTGCGTCGCGCCCGGGCCCCCTCCCTCTGGGCCTGCCCCCTTCTTTCCTCTTCTCCTTTTGCTCTCTCCCCCCTCCGCCCAGCGCCCTGACTCTTGTCCTTTTGCCCCCCCCCCCGCCCGGCCCGGCCCGGCCCGGCCCGGCCCGGCCGCGGCACTGGCGCCCAGGTCTGCCTCCTCCACCCGGGCAAGTTCCTCTTCCCGCTGCCCCTGTCGCTGTCGCTGTTCAAGCTGCTGCTGGACCAGCCGCTCAATGCCTGGGACCTGAAGCACCATGTCGATCGCAGCCTCTTCAACTCGCTGGAGTACCTGACCGACGTCGATGAGGCCATGCTCAGCAGCTTGGTGCTGAGCTTCAGCAACACCCTGCCGCCGTTCCCCAGTCCGGCCGGGCCGCGCGGCCCGGTCGGCCCGGGCCTCGGGGCCACCTCCTTCACCACCTTCAACCTGGCCCCGGATGGCAGCAACATCGACGTCAACAATGACAACCTCTTTGCCTTCTTCACATTCCACATCAGCGGCCGGCTGGGCGAGTTCTCCCTCCCGGCCATCGAGGCCTTCGTCAAGGGCGTGGCCAGTGCGTCGGGGGCCCCCGCCCTGCCCTGCGCCCGCCTTTGGCGCTTCTCCTGCTCCCCCCCCTCGGCCCTCCCCGACCCCCCCCCCCAATAGTGGTCGTCCCCTTGTCCCTGCTGCGGTGCTTCTCGGCTCGCGAGCTCCAGACCCTCACCTGTGGTCTGCACACCGTGGACCCGGAGCAGCTGCTGGCCCTGCTTGACATCCAGCAGCCGCTGAACTGCCCGTTCGCGGCCACCGGCTGCCCCCCGGCCCCGAAGGACGCCACCATGGAGCATAGCCCGCCCGACAGCCCGGACGGCCCGGACAGCCCGGAGGGGGATCTCGATTGCCTGGAAGCAGGTCCCCTCGGCCGCCAGGTGGCCCTGCCGGTTGGCCTCCGGCCGGCCGCCCTGCCAGGCATCATCACGCGCAATGCCTTTGGCCGAGGCCCGGCCGGGGGGCTGGGCCTCGGCTCCGGCGGCATGGCCGCCCGACGGCTCTCGGTCGCGGTGCCGGCCGTGTGCCACTGCCAGCGGCGCCTGGCCGCCTGGTTCCGGTGGTGCCTGTCCCCCCCGCAGATGGGCCCCGAGGACTTGGGCCGGTTCCTGGCCTTTGCCACCGGCACGCCGCGCATGCCGGTCGGCGGGCGCCTGGCCACCAACCACTCCGGGCGTCTGACCGTCCGGCCCATCCTCTCGGCCGGGTACCTGCCCACGGCGCACACATGCTCCGGGGACCTGGACATCCCGGTGTTCCCCTCGCGCGAGGCCATGCTCCAGGGCCTCCTCCGGTCCATGGAGACCACCGGCTTCCAGCTCACCTAGGTGCGCCGCTGCTCGCGCGTCCGCCGTGTGCCGGTGGTGCGGCGGCGCGGCCAGGAGCCGCGCCCCCCTGCCCTCTGTCCTACGGGCGTGGCGAGCCCGATGCCGGGGGCAGGGACAAGGGACAATGATCCCCCCCCCCCCCC